ATTGCTACAGCCCTGGTTTGCCAGTGCCCAGACTGTGGCAGGTGTCCCTACCTAAAATGCTGTTTCTCCTTCCTGCGCTGGCTTTTTTCCTGCTATCTTAGGCCTTATGTGGACATTTGGGCTCCACATTAGGTGCTAAATGTAGTAAGCTTTCTTTTAGGTCACCACGCAGTTCCCAAATCATGACAGGGAGACTTCTTTTTAGTTATGAATGCTCAGTCTTATCTTATGCTTGATGCTCTAGCTCTTATAACTTAACCTGTTTCTCTTAATCTACATTTTGCCTCAAGGCCTTTTACCTTTCTTTCCTTCTGGGTATCTTACTTTCACTGTTTTTTGTGTCTGGCGGACTGGCAGCTGCCTAGCATCTGGTCGTGGACTTGTCCCTCTCTTCCTTCCTCATTTTCTTTTCCTTCTTCTCTCTTTTTATTCTATATGTTCTCTCTACCTTTCAGCCCCTACCTACTCCCCTTCTGCCTAGCTATATATTGTTCAGCTATTTATTAGACCAATCAGGTGTCTTAGGCAGGCAAGATGAAACAAACACAAAACATCTTTTCAAAATTAAACAAATGTAACACACCTTCACATGGTGTTGTAGGAGACCACTTGTTCATTCCCGGCTGCCCAGACCACAAAATAATCACACAGAAACTTTATTATTTAAATCACTGCTTGACCGATCTCTTAAGTGTATTGCAAGCTAACGCTTACATCTAGAATTAACCTATTTCCATTATTTTATGTTTTATCACAAGGCTTGTGGCCTACCAGCAAGGTTCCAACTGACAGCTCACATCTTTCCCCTCTGACGGCTCCATGGCATCTCTCTGACTCTGGCTACTCTCCATATATTTATCTCTTCCATCTTGGCTATATTCTGTTAAGCCATTGGCCAAAACCAGGTTCTTTATTAATCAATGGTAATCACAGCATACAGAGGGGAATCCTACATCACCATGGTTAAAGTAATTTTCTGCAGTGTAAGTAAATGTAACCCATCTTTTCTCAGTTAAAATAACATTCCTAACAGTGGAGCATCCCTTGAATCCACTCAAGGAAGACTGTGGTTACTGTTGCAAGGAGCTACTTGCTCATTATGGCCTCCCAGAACCAAAATAATCACACAGAAACTATATTAATTTAAACACTGCTTGGCCCATTAGCTCTTATTGGCTAACTCTTATATTAATTTAACCAATTTATATTAATCTGTATATTGTCATGTGGCAGTGGCTTACTGGCAAAGATTCAGCATGTCTGACTCTGGTGGCTCCATGGCGTCTCTCTGACTCTGCCCTTCTTTTTCCCAGCGTTCAATTCAGTTCTTTCTGCCTACCTAAGTTCTGCCTTGCTATAGGTCCAAAGCAGTTTTTTTTATTCATTAATGGTAATCACAGCACACAGAGAGGATTCCCATATCACCCCCCCTTTTCTGTTTAAATAAAAAGGAAGGTTTTGACTTTAGCATAGTAAAATTACATATAACAAAATAGGTATCAAACAAGAATTATAGTTACAATATTTATATCTACTTTATCTTTTATCATAACTAAGAAAACTAGAACTATAACTAAAAACTCTTCAACTCCATTTAAGACTCCAGAAGGATATAATATTACCTGAGTAAACAGGAAGTACATTGTAAGCAACTTCCAAGACGCTAGAATTGACAGAAACATCTTGCTGCCTGAACAGTCACCCAAAGTTCTTCTGTACTGTTGGGGCATCCACGACTCTCACATCAGGTTACCACCAGAACCACTCTTGCCACTATTGCACCAGTGGGCACATCGTTCCTGGCAGGACTGGGATATAGCTCTCATGGGCTCTGTTTTTTTATACAAATCAGACAGATGAAATTATTCAAAACAGAATGCTAAATTTGCCCCACTGATAAATGTGCCGCAGGTGTAGCTCTCAGTGGCAAACTTTCGCACGCCATACGTCTTTTTATGGCCTACACTGAAGTCATAGAGACCAGGACTCGCTCAAACCAGAAATTTACCTTACCAAGGTCTGCATTAAGCTACTCCTCAAATTCATGCCTTTATATTCCACCAATTTGTCTCCTTCCATCTTTCATATCTCTTCCCTTCTTTCATTTTTTTCCTTACATTCTTCATTCTCCATTCTCCAACTTATTCCTAGATTCCTTTTCTTTCCTAATGAATTTCAACAAGAATCTTCAAAATGCCAGCATTTTGCTCATTTCTGAGACAAAAAAAAGATGAGGGAAAATATTCCACGTGTGGAAAACTTACAAGTCTGGAAAAGAATTGTCTAGGTCACGGGTTCTCAACCTCTCAAATGCTGTGGCCTTTTAACACTGTTCTTCATGTTGTGGTGACCGCCAGTCATAAAATTGCTTTGTTGCTACTCCATAACTGTAATTTTGCCACTGTTATGAGTTGTCATGTAAATAACTGAGGTGCTAGCTTTCTGGTATGTGGCTCTGTGAAAGAGATTGTGACCTACAGGTTGATAACTGCTTTAGGTTAACCCTGGGGTTCTGAGTGAGATCTTGCTAGACCTCAGCTCATGGACCATCTCCTGAGTGTCCATTCCAAGTTATAGCAATGGAAACTCTTTGGTTTCTTTGGAAGTTTTGACACAACTTCATTCTAAGGAATTTGATACTGTTATGAACTTTCATAGTGTAATAAAGAAGGTAAATAGGGCAAGATGGAAACATTGGAGAGACCAAAGGGAGTCGTGGAAAGGTCAATGCCATTATTGCTTAAAGATATAGGCCTGGCTCACAATCTCATGGTGTTGCCTCAACTTAATTAAATCCGTTTTAATAGTCTTGACCAAAGAGAAGTATGAGAAGGTGAGAAGGAGGTGACATAGAGTGAGCCAGTAAAATAATAAGGAAATCAAGGCCATAGTGCACTAGAAAGCCTGCTTCAGAGTGACTTTAATAGACTTGGAATCTACCACTTCCAAACCTACACTCTGGGCACTTTGTCTGATCAACATAATTCTAGTCTAAAAGACATTATTTCTTTCATTCACCCTGCTCCCTAAATACTAAAGATCTGGTGGTCATGAATGAGGACCCTGTGAGGCAGCCTGTAAATGAAGGTTCACAGTCATTTCTAAATAATCACGCAGAGGCTTAATACGAACTACAAAAGGCTTGGCAGAATAGCTCAGGCTTATTACCAATTAGCTTTTACTTGTAAATTAACCCATTTCTATTAATCTATGTTTTGCCACGTGCCTTGTGGCTTTACCTGTGATCTAATACATATTGTTCCTCCGGCGACTGGCTGGCATCTCCCTCAGCTCCGCCCTTCTTTATCCCTGTATTCAGCTTGACTTTCCTGCCTAGCTATAGGCCAGAGCAGCTTAGGTTATCTCACTGCAGCAGATACCAAGGACTCTACCCTTACTACAGGAACTTCTAGGGTTTGTCAAGGAGTTGGTTGTGGCTACATGACTTTTTCATCTTACACACATCTTGATTTTATTTATTTTATTGTTTGTTGTTTGATTTTTGAAAAGGTGTCTTATTATGTAATCCTGGAATTCTGTATGTAGGCCAGGCTGCCCTTGAACTTACAGAGATCTTCCAGTTTGTTTTTTGATATATTTTTTTGTCTTTCTAGTGCTGGGATTCAAGGCATGTGCTACCACAAAGTCACACTGCTTTGAGAAGCACAGTCTCTCACAGTAAAGGTCATGGATGGATTGTGTTTAAACTCCATGCCACCCACTAGGACCTCTCCATGACAAACAGTGGACTTGCATCATCAAACTGAAGGACTCTTGGGGCAGTGCCTTACAAGGGTCTTACTGTGACAAGCAAACTATGCCTTCCATTAGAAATATTGGCGCACTAGCTGCTTAATGACTAATTAAGCCTCTACCGAGATCAATTGCAAGTAAGAGACAACAGAGAACAACTTAAAATTCTGAAAAATGGTTTCGCCTTTGAATTGGACTCCGCTCCAAAGGAAAGATTTCTAGGTAAGAAGAAATACAATAAGCACCATGGGTACTAAAGAGAGTCATGGAGGAGAGTAAGAGCAGCCACAACTGAACGTGGAACTCACTGCCTATAGGAGCAGTCGCATCACTTTCGGTCTGGAAATGCTCTCTGGATTCCTCCTTTAGAACACACGTGTAGATGCCCCCAAGTCACACCAGCCATTCTGTCAGTTAACTGTTCCTTATGTAATTTGATACTGTATCTGTAATTTGACAATGTATCTTTTTAGGACACCCCAGACTCTCACCGGCAGTCTCTCAGCTGTCACAGAGTCATCAGATGCATATTTAAGGTCGTACATTTTGCTCCTTCTCCCTCTTCTGAGATGTTGATCTTCTTTGAGATTTCTGGGAAATCAGAAAGTTTTATGTTTCAGTTTCCAAGCTACCCATCAAACTCAGAATTGGTGATTTTTCTGAGTCAATGTCTTTGAGCAGTGGGGTTTTGATCTCCGTTAAACCTTTGTGGTTTGCTTTTGTCTTCTGAGAGCAGGCCAAACTTGGGCAAGACAGTTCACAGAGTTCACAGAGTAGATCAGAGGGATAGGGGGAAGACAGCCACACATGTGTTTATTTCCTGCAATGATTCTGCATCCCAGATGTTTTCTGTGTAGATAAGCCTGTCGTTCCTGTTGATCTTTATAACCCCAGGTTAAAATATATCCCCAAAGAAGCACGAAACAGAAACCTTCCATCCCCAGTATCCCCACTAACATAGGAGACATCTACAGTCAGGTTGCCATTTCACCATCTTTTATCCAAGCAGGTTTCTTAGTTTTAGGCAACAGACACTAAAACCAGGAGGTTCCCAACTATACCCTGTGCCTCACTTGCTTCTATGTCCAGGATTTGGACATCCCAGAGTTGAGCACTGTATGACTTGTTCCTTGGTGACCTTGCTGTTGGTGACCACTCTAATATGTGGGTTATGGTGATAACAGTTATCCAGGGGATTCTTCAAGGGCACAAGGCAATTTTTTTTGAGAAGCCACTGAACCATCATGCGTGCCTGTTCACATGTTTGAAATACCCATCTTGAAAGACTCCAAGATGAGAATAAGTGCAGCGCTCTCAGGTTTCAAGAGGACATCAGAACCTTGGGATCACACGCACACCAACGACCAGGTTTCTAGTGTCCTATTGCAAATCTCCAGAGTAGCACCTCATAGTCTCTAGCCGTCATCTCTAAGGCTCTAGGTGAAGGCTCCCTTAGCCTAATTCCTCCCTGGCCTAGAATAAACAACTTGGAACTTCCCTGGCATGAGATGGTCCTTTCTGTGGGTTGGTTCGCCATCTTTCTTGTTTTTCTAGTTTGCTGGTCAGTTTTTTGTCAACTTGACACAAGTTAGGGTCATCTGGGAAGAGAGAACCTCAACTGAGAAATAACTTCAATCAAATTGTCCTGTAGGTGAGGTCATGGGCATTTTATTGATTGATGATTGATGTGGGAGGGCCAACCCAGTGTGGATGGGGCTGCCCCTGGGCAGATGGCTGTAAGTGGTATAAGAAAGCAGGTCGAGCAAGCTGCAGGGAGAAAGCCAATAAGAAATGTTCTCCTATGGCTGCTTCTTCAGTTTCTTCTAGGTTCTTCCTACCTTGATTTCTTGATCTGACTTCATGATGAACTATCAGCTCCAAGCTCACATAAACCCTTTCCTCCAGTCATGGTGCTTTATCATGATGGAAATCGGTAAGAGCAGCTGGATTGCCAAGTAAAAGAAATATTTTAAAACATTTTAAATATTTTATTACATTTGTGTGTCCATGTGCATGTGTATTGCACTTGCACACCATGGTGTATATTTAGAGGTCAGGGGGATGACTTTCAGGAGTTGGTTCTCTTTCTCCACCATGTAGGTTCCTGGAGTATTGGACTCAAGTTGTAATTTACGGCGGCAAGTACCTTTACCCACTGAGTCGTCTCGGCTCTGCAAAGACATCATCTTGTGTTCTTTTCTTTCTCCAACAACTCATCATGTGTTCCCTGGGCTCATTTATGATGGGTGGCTAAAAGGATTTAGGTTCAATGACAAGACCACCTCCGCACATTTTATTTTAGGCTAAAGAAATGTAGGAGAGGTCCGTCCGTCAGGCAGAACTTAGAGTTGGTTTTATAACTGCCCAGGAATCAGTTTGTATCATTTCTAGTGCAGGGGAAACCCAGTCTCAGCTCCTGCATTTCTCCCTCTCAAGTCCCAAACCTACTGGAACAAAAAGGGAATTCTAGCTGTCTGGATTTAGGGAACATCACTCCCACCTTCAGCCCGTCTCAGCAACCCAGAGACCCCTCCATCTAAGGACTCAGAAAGTATTCTTCTTAAAGAAAAGGCAAGGCTTCAAGTTTCACGCGTTTGTCTTAAATTTAATGTTCTGCTTGCCATCAGCATTCTTAACCATTTGTTTTGTTCAGTCAATTCCTTGCAGACACTCAGTTGAAAAAGTGTGAATGCAATGCCAAGAGATTGAAGGCTGCTGGTTAATCCTCCAGACGGAGAATTCACTTATTGATCTATGAAGCAAAGCTAGTTTCCTCCAGAAAGCCACTGAAGATAAAATTATTTTCTAAAAAAGCTATAAATACTAAGTTTCTCACTCTTTAAAATTGTTTTTCAGCTATTTTTGAAAAAAAAATGAGCAGAAAAATTTTCTTCTACTGATTTTCATAATATTTTGATAAAATATAATTTGAAAACGAGAGAGAGAGAGAGAGAGAGAGAGAGACAGAGACAGAGACAGAGACAGAGAAACAGAGAGAGAGAATAAGAGAATTGTATTCCTACAATATGACATAACGGGCTTCTCTCTAGGATCCCCCTTGGTTTCCAGCTGCCATGAGGCTGAAGTTTGCCTCACCTCCTCCTGCAACACTGCTGGACTGTCAGGCAGATAGTGCGCGCGATGCTGAGTTCAGTAGATCTGGAAGCTGGCCTAGAAGGAAACATTTGCTCTTCTCTGATCCCACGAAGTCAGAAAGAAGGACCTGCCAGAGACAAAGCACAGTATCCCACGCGCTCACTGTGCACACCCAAAGCTCTCATTAAAGTAAATGTGTTAGCATCTATTCCTTCCGATTCCTCTCTGTCATCTGGAGATTTCGTCACTTACATGTAATTTGTCGGAATATCAGTGCTTACTTTTTGCAGCAACTGATTTTCATGGTTTTAACAACTAATTACATTTAACATCAACACAGGCATCAAGTGCATATACTGTTCGATCTCCTACTTACAACAAAAATTGTAAAATACTACACATTGCCCACAAACTTATCATAAATCATTGTCCTGATTTTCTTTCCTGTGAAGGTTGAAATTGGCAGGAATCTAACTGGATGTGTGTGTGTATGTCTGTGTGGAGACCAGAGAAAACCCTGGACATCATTCCTCAGGTGTTACCCACCTTGATTATGATTTTGAAGCAGAGTCTCTCTGTGATCTGAACATCATCAAGTAGGCTAGTCTAGCCGCCCAGAGGACCCAAGGGTCCACTTGCCTCTGCCTCCTCAGTACAGGAATTACATGTGTGAATCTCAGGTCTAGAATGCTTTAAATGGGTGTTTTGATGATTGAACTAGGGTCCTCACGTCTGTAAAGCACTTTACTGATGGTGACATCTTCCCCATCCTACATCCACTATATCCTGAGTTCTGAAGAGACTGTCACAGAGAGATGGTAACAGCAACTGTCTGTGGACTTGCCCACCTCGAATACTTCAATCTCCTTGAGAATTGTGGAGCACAGGTCACTGTGGAGTTTCCAGTGAATGATAGTATTATATTACAGCCCTATCAAAATTTCAGATCAAGAGTTCTGATGCCTCCTGACTTCAGTATAATCTAAATACTATGGACCATAAAACAAAATGTGTCTACCTCAGAAGGGAGAGGGTGCTTTTATTAAGAGATAATAAGGTAAGTGTCATAATTTAACTCAAGCATCAAGTATCATCAGCAATATAGCACATGCATTTAGCACATCTATTAGAAACGAGATTGAGAGGAGCCAATAGACGTGTAGTTCTAAGGTAGAGATTCAAAAGATGAGGCCCTCGGTCACCTGTCCTTTTCTGGACCCAGGACAGATGGTTCTGGGGCTCCCTTTTTCAGTCCTGGCAGTTTAAGGCTGGTCATGGCTTCCCCTGTCATAAGCCTCTCCATTTCTCTTACTGTCTTTCTCTTATCTTCTCTCTTCGTCTGCCACTTGTCCTCAGACATAGACTCATTTCTAGTTTCCATTAAACTAAAATCTAACACCAGTTAAGTATTTTCGGGTGCCTAGAGCTCTTTGGGAAAGAGGAATGTAATGAATAAATAAAAGACTGGCTCACAGCCTCAGGCCCTGGCGTTGCCTTGTGTTGATGAAGTTCACGGTTTTCTAGCATTTGAATAAGTGCACACTCTGAATGGAGCAAACTTCATTAGAGGAGGAGAGTTCACTTTGGGGTGTCCACTGCAGTAAGGTTATAATCACTTACACTTAGTTATTATTTTGCTTTTGCTAAGATCTATGCATCCATTTTGAGACCCAATGATTTTATCTGTAATGCATCCAAATGCTTTTTGCAAGCCTTTCCCTTTCTGCACTGCAGTGAAAATGTATCTTTGTGTTAGCACAATGCATGAACACTTAGGAAGCATCTGTGCTTATGTAATTATATTTTCATTGATGGTAAAAATCCTCTAGAGACTTTCGAATGACTTAAATAGAATACTGCTGGTACACTTCCGGGAAGTGGGAGAAGTGGGCACAGTGGATTGCTGAGCACAGGACATAATCTTATCATGGGGAACAGTGGAGCACCTCAGCTTTCTGAATCCTCCTCACCAACTCTACTTCTGCACATACCAAACATGGAAAGATTAGGAAGATCATATCCTCCCAATTTTGGCCCAACACATATACCGTATTTATTGCCCAACAAAGGACAGTCACCTCTTGAGAAACCATTTCATGGCAACTTCTCTCTACTGGTGTTACTGGCCATGGGTGAGATGGCATAGATTGTGCTCGGTGCAAATGATGAAGCAAAGTTCTTTTCAGAGGAGAGAGAGCATGCTCACACCTGACTTTTCCTATATGGGATGGTTACATCGTGTGGCAATAACTCCCCAACATGAAGATGACCGTGGAGAAAATAGCATGGAAGGGTTTACAGGCACTCCCATTCAGACAAGTTTGTTTTGTTTGGGTTTGGTTTTTTTTTTTTTGAGTCAAACTTGGTCTCCCATGCTATATGGATAATGAATTTCTTTGGCTTCATTGTCATTCTGATGAAGTAATTCTGTCCTCAAATATATCTGTCTTTTTTTTTAGTACATTGACCAATATGACCTTAAGAGGTTACTGCTAATAAGTGCTATGCCCTTGAAGGGGGCCTACCTCTTGATAGCTTTGCATTTATCTCTGAAAGAGATTGCAGAGTTATAACCAATGTGCAAGTAATCCAAACACAACTGATTGGTGGAATGTCAGGCTACAAACAGAAATTTCATCAATCCATGGCCTATGATCTGACAGGGTTGAAACAGCAAATAGCCAACTGATTCTCTCTTTATTGGGTGCTTCAACTGAGAAAATAGAGACAGAGTCAGTTAGGAGGAGTTTGGTTTTGTCTAACAGAGGAGCCCTACCCTGTTAGACTGTGCTTGAGAGGGAGAATTGCCAGGCTAAGACCATGTATAACATGGACCATGAATAAGGCAAGTAAATTGTAATTGAAAGAATGTCGCTCTCCTTCCTTCCTTCCTTCCTTCCTTCCTTCCTTCCTTCCTTCCTTCCTTC